GCATTTTTTAAAGATGTAAATGTTCTTTATTCTGGCTTTCTCATAGCAGAAGTATGAGTCACTTGCAAACCGTAATAGATTCTGGCTATGCTACATGATGAAGTGTCTTGGATATGCTAAAACAGTGAATCCAGGCCCACGGCTGAAGAATTTCCAGTGGTTTTGAAAAGAAAGAGACGGGGGAGGGGATCACAAAACAAGGAAAGATACAGATTATGACACTTTTTTATAGCAAATGAAGTAATTTTGGGTAAGAAAATAGGATGATTTAAATCTTAAGTGATAAATGGCAATGCTAGATAATGACTATGGAATTCCATTCACTTTGATGTTTAGATTTCAGTGCTATGTATTTGACATACAAAAAAGAAATGTAATATGCAGCCCCCTGAATCTAAATTCGTGCTACTGATTCTTTCTACAAATGAGCGACTATAATATAAAATGTTAGTCTTTGTTGCGGGAGAAAAGAGCTCTTTCCAGGATGATAGATAGGGGAGTTGATGGGAAAGAAATTTCTAAGTGTTTCTGTGCTAGAGAAATGTGACCTGTTGTCATTATCATACAATAGGATGACACTTTTTTTAGATATAGTCAAAATGTATATACTTACTTGGAGGAGCACTTGAGTTAGCTCCTTAGTTCCATACAAGGTCAGCTAGCTAGCCAGCCATGACTGCTGCAAAGAAGAGACATGTGCCGTAACTCCCCCTCTCCACCTTGTCAAGGTCAACAGTAAGAAATAGCAACTGGTGCCAAAGTGTCCTTAAGTTAAACGTGGCAGCCAGCTTCCTTGCCTCAGATCCCATAGGCAGAAGCAGAATTCATCTTCTTTTTACCTCTTCTCCCAGAAAACCTGCGTGCTTGGGTGCTGCATGCAAACACATACCGAGGGCTTAATAGCAAGGAGGACTGCTCTGTATTTTCATCCCTTTTGCATTTGCAAAGAGTAGTGCATGTGGTACACAGTGTTTAAGGTTTACATTTTCTAATAAGGCTTAAAGCATTGCATTAGCATTCCAGAGATTAAAAGTAAACCACAATGATTCATTATGTATGTATCCTAAAAGAAAACAAGTTTGGAGCTAAAAAAGTCCTCTAAGATGCTGTTGTCTCATTGAGAGGCAGTCATGGCACTGTGGCCTTTGAGCTATGAACACTTGAGTTTGAGGTTTCCCTCTGACACATACCTTTTTGTGACCCCAGGCAAGTCACTTGACTCTCAGTGATCTGGACAACTTTCCTAGGCTAAGCATTGGAGAGAAGGCCCTGATCTTTGCTAGTGTAGGTAGCCTTCTCATCCACATTTGCCCTAGATGAATGAAATCATAGATTCAGCCCTTCTTTCTGCATCATAATTCCTTTGTCTAAATCTTATTTCAGTTTCAGTCATGTGTATGTATGTGTACATGTATGGCAAATGGTACGTGTGTATGTACTAGAACCAGAGGTCAAAATCCAAAATGCCCAAGGCTGGCTTTGGTGATGACCGAAGGGTGGTCAAGATACAGCCAGGACCAAGAGAAAAGGAGGCAGATATCAGGGCTAATGAAAAAGGCTTGGAGATCAGAACAAAAGTGCTAATGATCTGTCAGTCAGTAAAAATGGAGTGAGCAGTTAGATAGAATAAGCAACTTGTCAAAGATTAAAGATCCTGGGGTCAGAAACTTTGGCAGGAGCAACCAGGTCTTTAATATGCCAATGCCAGAGTGGAGTAAGTCCAAATAACTCAAAATACAATAGGACCAGAGGAACGATGAGTCTGATCCTAGATTAGAGATTGCCCTTTGGCCTCCTATTTCTTGATGGAAATGAGAAACTAAGCAATAGTGGGTGCAGAAAGAGATAGCACCTAATGGGCACAATGGTCCTTATATATAGTAGGGAACAGAAGATCTTGGGGTCTTAGTCAGTCAGTCAACAGGAATTTATTTGAACTTACTATGTACTGAGTACTAGGGCAAAGGCAAAAATGTGACGCCCTTCATGGGGAAGCTCACATACTGATGGATGAGATAACTTTGAAATAATTGTGCACATACGAAATAGACTTATATAGAATATATGGGAGGTAATCTGCGAGGGGAGACTCTAGCAAGAGGAACCGGGGGACAAGAGAAATCTCCTTCCCAGAAGGTGGGATTTGTTTATTGGGGGAAACCACAAGGCAGAAAGCCTCATCCCAAGCAGAGAACAGATCCTAAGTCGATGAAGGCTATCTTTAATCATGCTTCCATTGTCAAGTCTGTCAAAGATGCCACCAATTTAATGGAAATGGTCAACATTAACATTGGCATAATACTGGTTCCATCCTACTTGGAGAAGTGTATACAATGCTAAGAACATTTTGGATACTGGGAATTCTTTTCAGCTAATGATGTTGGTGTTTCTTTCTTTCTTTCTTTCTTTTGTAAGATATCACTATGAAAGTTTAACATAAGCTCTGTAAGAGTAGCAGTTGTTTCAGTTTTTGTATTCCCAAGACCTGGAATATATTAAGTAGTGAATAAATTCTTGTAGATTGATTGATCAGATAATTGATGTGATGTGTCAGTAAGCCTGGGTCCTAGAAAGCCACTTTAGGGAGCTCAGTCTTTAGTCAGTCTTACCAAGCATGAAAGGCCTAGAACCAATTGTGGTTCTGCTTTCTGAGGACCAACCAAGGTAAGTTCTGAGAAATTCAGCATCCTCAGAGGGCTAACCCAAATTGATAAATTTTTTGCATCCCCTTATTGCCTCCCCCACAAAGGAGAAAAAAAAAAACAACTCATGGAAACGGTCTACTAAGGAAGAGAGAGTTTGCGTCAATGGAGTATGTGTATTATGTGGTTAAAATAACATCTTATTTACTCAAAACAGAATATTCAAGTAGGAAACTGTTATAGTAATCTAGGCAAGAGAGGATGAAGACCTAGAGGAGGGTGGTTGTGATGTGAGCAGTGAGAAGATGACAGATGCAAAATATATCTTGAAGTACATTAATTGGATATTCAAGATGAGAGAGACTAGGAGAACATGAGTATATGAGTCTGGTTGACTAGAAGAATGATGGTTCCCTCAAAATAGAAAGTTAGGAGGAGAAATGAGATTAGGGCGAAAGATAAGGATTTCGGTTTTGGACATGTCATGTTTGTGATCCCTAAGGGAAATTCAAGTGGAGATTTCAAGTAAGCAATTAGAGACACTCATGAGAGAGATGAAGCCCTGAAATCTAGATTTGTGAGTCCCCATGGAGATAGTAATTGATACTATAGGTGTTGGTGACATCACCAGGAAAGTGTAGGGAGATGATGAGAAGGCCCAAGGTGGACCCACCCAAGGAAACTGAGGCCCATAGTGGAGAGGTAACTTGATCAAGATCACAAATGTATTAAATAGCACAGCTGGAATTTGCATCATCTCCAGATTACAAATCCATTCTTTCTAGAGATGCATGATGTTGCTTCTCAACCCAGTTCATGAGACAAAGTGTCCTGGTCAGACCTCAGCAAAACAGCTTGGGCTCTCTGAGCCATCATATTTTCTTTTTCTTTTTTTTTTTATACTTTTCTTGGGCAACTTTTGCTTTTTATCAGTAATTCAGCTTGATCTTTGTTTTCCCCATTCTGGTTTGAATTTTTAGGGCCCAGTTCCAAGAGGAAGCGCATGGCTCCCAGTATTTACTCAGACTTCTGCAATCTTCTGAGTTAAACAATTTTGCTTAGGTAGGGCACCAAGCAAATAACCCTGGCTTGGATCACTCAAACAAAGCTGCTAATATTTGTAAAAATCTATAAACACTACATGTAAAAGGAATGTTTGTTTAGCTTGAGTTGAAAATCAGCACTGGAGATGGAAGTGAAAATGGAGGGAGGGAAGGAAAATGTTTTGTTTTGTTTTCCAAAATTGAGGTATGCTGTTTAAGGTGGAAAAAATGCAGATTTTTTCAACCATAAAAATGTGATTTTTTTTTCTTTGCCCCAGAATTTTGTTGCCAATGGGTGGCCATCTTGGAGAGGATTTTATACCATGTACATTAAAGGCTGCATGGTCTTCATCCCCAGTGGTTCTCCGCTGTATTCAAAACTACGGATGACAATAACAGTTGATAAGTGGAACTTATTTGGGAAGACCATTTAAATCAGTTTCTAGCAACATGTCAGAGTCTATTTATTAGTATATCATGAAGTCTCAGAGTAGGAGCTCCCAGAAATCATCTGACATAATCCTCTCAGCCTCCCTACTTTTGATCCCTTTTATATCTTGTCTTAACCAAATGCCTATAATAAAGGAATGAGTGTAATTAAAAAAAAAAGACCTTTACAACTCCTTGAGGTCAGGAACTCTCTTTTGCTTATATGTGTATTCCAATACTCAGCATAGTTCCTGGCATGTATTAAACATGTAATAAATGCTTTGTCTATCTGTTGACCCATGCCTGAACGAGAGTCCTCTCAACAGTCTTGACAAGTACTCATCTGGCCTTTCTTGAAAACCATTAGTGTTAGGAAATCCATTTCCTCCTGGGAAAGTCCATTCCATTTTCAGATAGCTTTCATTGTTAGGAAGTATTTCTTACTTCAAGGATAAATTTACATCTGTGATTTCCATCCATTATTCTTAGTTCTGGCCTTTGAGGCCAAGAGGAAGAAGTCCTATACCTCCTCCACATCCCAGAACTTCACTTACTTGATAATAGTCATTATTTCCTCTCAAATTGTCCTTTTTCCAGACTAAACATCCCCAGATCCTCAAGGAATCCTTATATAGCATGGACTGTAGGCCCTTTAGAGCACCATGTCCAGGGATGTTTCTGTTGCCTGTGATTTGGAAGGCATTTATTCACTTGGATGGTCAAATCATGTATGCTTCTTGTCAAATTGGGATCATTCATTGGGTGTGCATGTTTAATCTGGTATTTAATGTGGTATTAATGTTTTTAAAAATATCATTATATATCATAAATAAATAGTACACTATTCCTGTAAATATTAAATATTACATTATTTATTCTCCTGTAGGTAGAAATAACACTCCAGGATATCAACGACAATCCCCCAGTATTTCCAACAGATACACTCGATCTGACAGTAGAAGAGAATATTGGAGACGGCTCCAGGATAATGCAGCTGACCGCCATGGATGCTGATGAGGTAGCGTTAAGCTTGATTCCTAAGGTCCCCATGTAATTAATGGTCTGGGGCATTTATGGGCATGTTCATTAAGGTTAAAGATTGGGTGTATTTTTCCAAAGACCATTAATTCCTGAATCCAGATGGAAGAAGCCCATGATGGAAAAAGATAAAACCATTTCTTTTCCTTTGATCATTGGTCATGACATAGTTCACTGTGAGCCTGGTTCCACTTGTTTCCACACTATGGTTATTTTCAAAAAACAAGGACAATTGTGCCTGCTAACTTCGTGTTATGGAAATCTGTTTTGTTTGCATGCACATGAAAGCTATGAATTAGAACCATCATTATGCCTCACTATACCCTAGGGGTTTATAGCTTTATACAATGTTTATTTTCCCTGTGCAAGTCAAATCAACAAGCATTTATTAAAGGCCTACTCTGTGCCAGACTCTTTGTCAAGCACTGGGGATGCGAAGAAAGGCAAAAAAAAAAAAAAAAAAAACTCAGCTCTGAAGGACCTCACAATCTTATGATGTACTAGGTTCTATTTCATTAACAAAAGTTAATAACTAAGGCCTAATTTGACAAATGCTAATGGATGACCAAATGATGTAGGAAAAAGAACATTGAGTTTGGAGTCAGAGGATCTGGGTTGCTTTTACTCAGTGTGTAAGCTTTTAGCATTGTGCCTGACACATAATAGCTGCTTAATAAATGTTTGTTCTCTTCCCACCCCAACTCAGGTGGTCCTGGACAAGTCACTTCCCCTCATTGAATTTTAGTTTCCTTATTTCAAAAATGAGAATGTTGGACTAATAGCTACTAATAATAACAAGTATTTGTATAGCATTTTAAGGTTTGCCAAGCACCTTACACATATTATCTCATTTGATCCTCACAAGAAGTCTGTGAGGAGGTTGCTATTATGATGCCCATTTTTCAGTTGAGGAAACTGAAGCAGATAGTGATAAAATGAATTGCTCAGGGTTGCACAGCTAGTAAGTGTGTGAGTCTGAATTTGAACTCAAGTCTTTCTGGCTCCAGGTAAAGTACTTTATCCACTGTATAACCTAGTTCCCTCTTCCTTCAGGACTAGGTGCTCTCTAATTCTCCTTCTGTCTCAATGTTGGCTTTGGAGGCCTGATTGAATTCTATGCACCCAGAATCCATAGGGCCTTCTGGGACTGAGGTGTTTCTTCACTCTGGTTTCTCTGTTTAGAGTTGAGTGAGGGCTACATGGGGCAGTAGCAGCAGCAACTTCAGAGTGGGCTATGGGGATTCCAGCAGGCTTCTCATCAGTAAAGAGAAGATGATCAAAGAGTGGCTTAGTGATTAGCTGTCCTCCTTTCTGGATAAGGTGTGCTCTGGAGGAGGCTGAGGAGAACTTGGAACTCAACATCCTGGGCCCACCCAGATCCATAGCCACTGCTTCAAGACTATCGAGGACTTCTAGGATCAGATGCTTATTTGCTGCAACTGTTGAGAACTCCAAGACCATTCTACAGATTGTTCTGAATCAAGTTTGAGGCTGAGCAGATGCTCCACCTGAGAGTGGAGGCTGACAGCGGTCATTTGCTCAGGGTGCTAAATGAGCTGAACCTGGCCAGCTAGGTTGAAGGCCTGAAGGAGGAGCTGACCTCCCTCAAGAACAACCACGGAGAAGAAGTGAGTGCTCCAAATGAATAAGTGGATGACCAGGTTGTCATGAAGAGGTATCAACTTGTTCAAAAATCTTACTGTCATGAGAAATCAATATGAGGTTGTATCAGAAATAACAAGGTGAGATCCTGAGGGTTGGTTCACCAGCAAGACAGAAGAGCTGAACTGAGAAGCAGCCTTCTACATGGGACAGCTCCAAACAAGCAAAATGGTGGCCACCGACTTTAGATGGAGCCTTCAGGGGCTGGAGATGGAGCTGCAGTCCCAGCTCAGTATGAAAGCTGTCTTTGAAGACACACTGGAAGAAAGGTAAGCCCATGAAGAGCTCAGCTGGCCCAAATACAAGCCCTGTTTGACCCCTTTGGGACCCAGCTGAGTGATGTCCCAACATATATAGTGCTCCAGAATCAGAAGTATAGATAACTACCTAACATAGCCTGCTGTGGGGTCATGATGCTCACTATTGCAGTGTGACTACCAAAAACATCTCTAAGCTACAAAAGATGGAGAAAGTCCTCATTGCAGGTCCATTTGAGGTGGGGCATAAGGAAGCAGAAGAGTATTTCTGACTCCTTGCATTAAGGAACGTCTGGATGAGAGTAGACGGAGCCCCAACTCTATTTCCTTATTCTGCCTAATCAAATTAATAGTCTAAGGGGGAAAAATTCTACCCCTTCTTCAATTTCTCTTTCAATCCATCTCTTTGAAGACCTAAGAATGACACCAATATGTGGAGGTTCAAGGAGAAACTCAATTGAAAATGTTTATTTTTTCAGGAAAACCAGAGTTTGAATCTTGCCTCGGATACTTACTAGCTGTGTGGACCTGGGCAAGGCTATTACCTTCTGTAATAGCCAGCATGGAGAGAACATTCAAATGGTCATGCTTTATATGTCCCTCAGTTTCCTCATTTATAAAAAGGGGATCAAAATGGCACCGACTTCCCATGCTTGTTGTGATGATTAAACAAGATAATTGTAAACTCTTTTGCAGCTTAGAGCCCGGGGTGGGGAACCTGCGGCCTGGAGGCCACATGTGGCCCTCTAGGTTTTCAAGTGAGAACCTTTGGTTTGGGTTCAGTCAACGGGCCGCACTTGGGGGCCTAGAGGGCCACATGTGGCCTCAAGGCCACAGGTTCCCCGCCTCTATACCAGGCCATTATAATTTTCCTCTTTTATTCTGTACAAATATTCACATGTGTTCTCTTGGGTGTGCTCGTACACACTGAAACATTAGGACCATAGATTGGAAGCTGGAAGGGATCTTATGATGGAGTCAGTATTTGTTGGATGGCTGAGATCTCAGTAATTCTTAATAGATCAATTCAATTCAGCAGACACTATGCTAGGCTGCGTGAGCGATACATAAATGGAAATGAAACAAAATCTGCCCAAAGAAGCTTAAATTCCAATAGGGCCAGCATACCATGTGCTTTCAGCAGAGTGTTCCACTTGGAGTCAGAAAGAATTTAATTCAGATCCAACTTTAGACACTTGCTAGCTCTTTGACCCTTCACTTAACCTCCCTCAGCCTCAGTTTCTTCATCTGCAAAATGGGCATAATAATAGCAAAATAATATATCCAGGGTCACTGAGCTCTTCTTTCTACAAACCATATTTGAACTATGTGACTCAGTGGATAAAGCCCTGCGCCTGGAGTCAGGAAGACTCATTTTCCTGAGTTCAAATCCAGCCTCAGACATGCACTGGCTGTGTGACCTTGGGCAAATCATTTCATGCTGTTTGCTTCAATTTCCTCATCTGTAAAATGAGCTGGAGAAGGAAATGGCAAACCATTCCAGTGTCTCTGCCAAGAAAACCCCAAATGGGGTCACGAAGAGTCTGACATGACTGAAAATGACTAAATAACTGCTTCTGTATAGCGTAGGGCTCATTTACCAATGTTCCACAGGTCAATGATGACAAGTTTTTGCTTTTCTTTGTTTGTTTTTTCATTTCACTATTGATATTGATTTTCTAAGTCTTTGAAGCTAACATATCCAAGTCACTTTAGGAGCACCTTGGAGAAAAGGAATTATGACTTTAGATTAGCAAAGTGTAAATACAGAGCTTCATTTAAATATCATTTGAAACGTTTGCTGGATACAGATTCCCTCCCCACCTCACTCCCCCCTCCCACCTTTAAGGAAGCATGTGATTCTTTGAGTCTCTCCGTATAAACAGAATGATTCAGACCCTAATGTTCTGGACTGGACTGACTGTGCTGTTTCCTAGGGCTGGACTTGTTATTGAAAATGTTACTTAAAGCTGTAAAATGCATTTGCAATTTATAGCTATTTACTTTGAGAATTCCTTCCCCTATGCCTTTGTCTCTGGGTTTCCTCTGGAGAGCAGAATGTTTTCAAGCAACGTTATTTCCATGGCTCGGCAAGGGAAACGTGGTATTTGTTTCTTGTGGTATTGCTGATGTCGTGTATTGGAGGATATTAAATAAATAAGGAGACCTTTCATAAGAGCTAATTAAATCATTGCTCCTGCCCAGAAGTTTGTTAACCATCCACCAAACATTTTTTTAGTTTGCCACATTAGTTCCCCTTTGGTATGGAAAAATGGAAGAAAAAGAGAAAGAAAGAAAAATAGCAAGAAAGAGAGGAAGGAAGGAAGAAAGAAGGAAAGAAAGAAAGAAAGGGACAAAGAAAGGAAGGAAGGAATGCAGGAGAGAAGGAAGCACAGAAGGAAGGAAGGAAGAAAGAAATCTGTACCTCTACATTCCCCAACTTCCTTGGCCTATAAGAATCAATAATTGGCGTCTTGAAGTCTTTTCATTTTTTGGGGTCAGGTTGTTGGCAAGGTTTTTCCAAGGCTAAAAATAATGTATCTAGTAGATATTATTTTTGTGTTGTGTTTTCTTTGCTTTTTACCTAATTTGCAGGAGCTTACCAGACAATCCTGAATGCTGGCACTTTGATAGCTAGGAATACATTAAGGCAAAAATGAAAAATCTTGTTAAATGGAACAAATGATTTAAAAAAATACAATCAGCTCAGAAATCTAAAATTCTCATTGAATGTTTTTGCTTAACCACAAAAGTAGAGGAAAGTGTTTTACATTTCCCAGATACACCTGAGTACACAATCACTGCATGGGGCTGGAGGTTAAACACAGCTGGTGAAGGACAGAGTGGGAGAATTTTCTGCTTTTATCTCTCCTCCCTGTTTTCAAATGTCCTTTGAGGTGCTCATCCTGCTAGACAGGTCATCCTATTGAGGGTTGTCACAAAATAAAATGAAAAAAAAAAACCAACCTATGGCAATTCAATTCAAACCAATCATTTAAGCCCATATTAAGCACCTACTATACAACAGCATGTGAGTAGGTGTTAGCAATGCAAAGACAAG